GCAGGGCGGGGGGCCGCCCGGGGGATCGGCGGCAGCTTCCCCGAGCCCCAGGGCACAGCTCGAGCAGAGGGGGAACTGCGCCCTGCGGGCTGGCCGGGAGGGCTCCCGGGTCTCGCTCTGTAAGGCTTTAAGCTTCCTCAATCCCACTTATTCACAAAAAGGGCTCAGAGCCGGAGGGCCGCTGGACCCAGGCGGCTGCCAGACAGTCCTGCCTTTGTGCTGCTCTCCGCTGCCCTCCCAAAAAGCTGCTTCCAAAAGTCCCAACATTTCTCCAAATGCAAATCCCTGCAGCAGGCGGCGGCACATTGATATGAACCCCAGCTCACCTCCGCTGCCACCGCAAAGCCTGGACTAACTCCCCAAGTCAGCAGAGTCTCTGCTTTTTAAGTGAGCAGGAAAGATCAAGTCTCCAGTTCGCTGTACAAACGCGGACATCGCTAACCATGCCTCCCCCTCCAAAAGGAACAGGCCAGCCTTATCCCCATCTCTCCTACAATAGTGCTTAAGGCTGCTGAGAAGGTTTGTTAGAGGCAGGCACAAAATCCAGGTGTTTATCGCTCCTAGTATTCTTCACCCAGCTGCTCTCTCCCTCCAGTGCCCCGAAGCAGAGGGACAGAAGCAGCAGCTGCCATTCCTATTTAAGGCCAGTAGCCTGCGAGAGAGACTAGTTTTAATTAGCAATAGCCAGCCTGAACGGAGCTAGCCCATCGCAAAAATTCAAATTGTACATTGTGACCAGCTAGAAGTTTTGAGAAGCTGTCCCCGCTGAGCTGTCACGCCGCAGGAAACGGCGCGGGCTGCCTGGTGCCGAAGGAACGCACCTAGAGACCAGATCGTCTCTGGTGTCCTCTGCCCGCTGACCTCATGCGGAAAACACATTCTTCGCTCAGCCCCAGTAGTTAAGTAACTAAAACCCTCGAGGCAAGGCTACCGCATCTCAGTCTAATCCTCCTTCCCGGTGACGCTTGCCTGGTTATTTCAGTTTAGTCTCCGGACGAATTCAAATATGTCTTGGTAAAAGCCGCAACGGTTCAAGCTGCAGAACAGGGGCTGTCACTGCTGCAAGCACCAGGCAGAACTCATTGGTCAGGTGGGGAGCGGGATGTTTGGAGCTGAGCTGCAGAGAGCAGCCAGAAAACTCTCCTTGCTCTCGCTAGCTGCATCTAGCAAGGCTAGATCTGCCCTTCAGCTCCTCAAGGTAAAACCCAAAAATAAGGATACACGCATGTAGCCAGCAGCACGCGTGGCACGGTAACAGCTCTGAGGTTATGTATGCCACCGCACCAGCCCACCACAGAG